AAAACCAAAAGCAAACATATGCAATAGGAATACAATGGAATTTTTTCCAATAAATATGAGAGTGAAGCAAGGATGCCCTTTTTCCTCACTATTATTTGATATAGTTACTAGAGAAAGAAATTAAAGACATACAAATAGGTAAAGAGAATATAAAACTATCCCTATTTGCTGATGATATGATAGTATATTTGGAATATCTTAAGGAATCTTTGCTGATTGATAACTTCAGCAAAGTTTCAGGCTATAAAATAAACTCTCAAAAATCAACAACATTTCTATATAACGTAACAAAACCCAAGAAGCAAAACTAGAAAGGAAAATTCTAACTACAAAATACATTAAATACCTGGGGATCAAGCTAACAAAGCACACAAAAGTCTTATATAGATTCAATACAAAGTGCTCCTTAAAGAGAACAATTTAAACAGCTGTGGGAATATACATTGCTCATGAGTAGGCTGTGCCAATACTATAAGAATTGTAATACTTCCAAAAATCATTTACACTTTTAATGTTATATCAATACAATTACCAAGGGGATACTTTATGGAACTTGACAAAATAATAACAAAATTCATTTGGAAAAAACTAAAGTTCAAGAATATAAAAGGAAATGATGAAAAGAAATAAAGATGGAGGGAGAATAGAATTTCCAGACCTCAAACTATATTGAAAAGCAGCAGTCATGTCCAAGCCTTTTGAATCAAAGACCCCATTGCTAAGCTTATACCCCAAGGAATCTATGAATAAGAAAAAGTCTCCATATACATCAAAATATTTATAACAGTACTTTTTGTGATAGCAAAGAATTTGAAACAACAAATAGATGCCCATCACCTGGAGAATGGAGAAACAAATCACAGTACGTGAATGTAATGGAATATTACTGTGTTGCAGGAAATTATGTGTGTGACAAATGCAGAGAAGCATGGAAAGACCTACATGAATTGATGCAGAAGCAAAGTAAGCAAAGCAAGAAAAGAATACACAAAATAACTAGGTAAATTGAAAGAACAACCACACACCAAAAATATCAGTGGGGAGCAAGGGGTATGTCAATTTCCTAACTTTGACCAGTGAGAAAGGTTGGAGGAACAGGAGAATGAATGAAGTGCAACTAGTGATGGAAAAGGTGGCTAGGGAGACTCTGTCATTAGGAGGGAGCCAAGTCTCAGTGAGATTTCAGAAGACAGAAGAAGTATGAAAGGAAGTTTATTACCTATGGAGCCAGTATTTCAGAGAGCTAGGGGTGGGTAGTATTAGAGTGGGACATTAGAGTGAGTTGGGCTGAGAGGGGTAGGAATAACATAGCAACATATGGGGGTAGAGAATAAGTTTTGAATAATTACAACCAGAGATTCAGAATGCCTGGGTTGGGGAGGGTATTACCAGATGAAAGTTTATTAATCATTAAGGAATGAATTCAGGCAGGTTATCAACATCCCAGGGTTTTGATCTCAAGGTGATGATCTCTCGGGGTATTAGTCAGCTCAAGAAAGGAGACCTGTGCAGGAGCAGATGCAATGGCATTTTTCTACTTTCCCCTGACAGCAGGCCAGGTCAGGCCAGGACAGGAGACTGGCAGAGGAAGCAAGATAGAACGGTGTCTCCCCCTACACTGCAGTCAGAAAGAGGCCAGGTAAGGAGTCCAGCACACAGTGGAATAGTGTGTGTATGTGTGTGTGTGTGTGTGTGTGTGCGTGTTGTATGCTTGGCTGCCCAAGCACGTGTGGGTGCAGGAATGCATGCATGTCTATGTGTGTGTAACCCTCCCCTGCAAAAAGGAAGAAACCTGTTCTTTTATATTTTATTCTTCCTTTGCCCTACCCCCACCCACTCTTTACAAAGATGAAGGTGGTGACAGGAGTGTGCTCAGCACTAATGATCTGTAGTCTCCTAGTTTATGCCTATACTCCTCACCTAGACTCTAAAATCCTTTTGACCTTTTCCCACTACCATCTTCAAATCTCCACAACATGATACATCATCCAATATTGGAGATTTTTGTGGTTTTTGTGGTGGGTTTTTGTTTGTTTGTTTTGCTAAATCCCTCCCTAAGGCTACCCTCTCCCTATTCCCTGCTGTTTCCCTATTGAGTTGAATGTATTTCAGCATCAAAGTATGTGTCCTTTAACCTGTTTAGATGAAAACGTGGTTCAAGTGCTGGCCCCATCCCTTCCTTAATGTTTTACCTGTGCGTCCACATTGCTTGAGCTAGTAGTATCTCCCCTCCCTTTCTTCTCTATTTTGTTTTCCCTCCTGCCTTTCAAGACCATCAGAAACATAACAAAACCACTTCCAGCCCTTTGTCTTTATTTTTTAAAACTTTGTTTTAATAGTTTTTTATTATTTCATGGAGTCATTAACTTCTTTTTGGCTCATTCTAATTTTCAGGATTTCTGTTACTAGAGTAAGGTTTTGTATCTTTTATACTAAGCTGTTAATTCCCCTTCCAAGTCTTTCCTCTAGTATTTTTATTTTTAAATTCTTTCCTCTAGTGTTCATATTTCACATTTGTAATATGATTTTTAAACTTATACTTAATTTTGCTCAAGAATTCTATTTGACCTTGTGGCCAAACTCAAAGATTCTTTGTCTTTGCTTATAGAAGCTGTGGAGTTATTCTCTTCTGGGTTTCCACCTTGGGTCCCTAGTTCCCTAAAGTCACTTTTTTGTGATTGTCTTTCATTGTTAATTCATTCTTCCAGTCTTATTTTCTGAACTGAGATTTGTGGTATGGCCAGGCTTTATATACTTTGTATACTGCCAGGCATTGTTTGCTTCTGGTCTGTATTCTCTGGGATTCTACTGCTGCTTCCTCTGGGTATTGAGTGCTTTGTTTTTGAAGGATCTCAATGGTAACTCAGGCCACAGAGCTGCAAAATTTTAGCACACCTCAAATGGTCTAATCTAAGCTGAAGTCTGATAGCTGATCTGGTCTGAATTCTGCAGGCTCCCAAATCTAATTTGTAGAGAGAGTGGGGAACCCACTATGTATCAATGAGCACTTGACATCTCCTTTGTATTTATTCTTTCCTGATCTATGTCGATACATATTCTGAGGAGGGAGGGCCCAAATGACAGTGTAGGTTAAGGTTATCTATCAGAATCATCAGAAGTCTCAATACACAAAAATATTAGCATCTACTAGAAGTGATATCAATAACCAACAAGAGAGAAAGTGCCTGCATATGTAGACAATCACCCCAGGATGGCAGCATTTCATGGACTCTGGCCTTTAGTGATGCAGAGAAGCATTAGCTATGGACTCCAGAAAGACATTTGTCCTCTGAGCCTAGCAGAGAGATACTCCAAAAGGGAACACATCTACAAAGGGAAAACTGTTAGACACCGTGATCAGTGAGCTACCAGTTTGCCACATGTTCTCTACAAGTTTCTATCTTTGTATTTTTCAGTTTGAGTTTTGAGCCCACTCTCCATAGCAACCTTATGTGGGGTAGAAGTGGGGTGGGGGGAGGAGGGTGTTCTCTGGGTTTTGGGAAGAATGTTTTTGTAACTGTTCGTGGCATACTTTCTCAGTAAATCGCATTGGTAAAAGCTAACAGAGGTCAACTGATTCTTATTGTTAATGAGGAGTATGTTAGTGGGGGCTCAAGAGCTATAATACTAGAAACTCCAAGTCTTTTAGGGGAGAAGTAGTCATCCACTGAATTTGTGAGTTCAGGTTGGGAGAGAGCCTAGAAACATTAATCATTGTTAATTATTTTCCATTTTCTTTTAAAGTTGTTGCCTTTGTTTTTCTTCTGCAAAATTTTCTTCCATTTCTGTATTTTTATATTCCAAATTTGTTGTTTTCCCTCTGTATCTCTACTGCTTGAGAGATTTTCCATCTTGAGTACTAAATTATGCATTTCTTATTTTGCTGTTTGGACTTTTCAGTCACATCCAACTCTTCATGATCCCATTTGGGGTTTTCTTGGAAAAGATGCTGGAGTTTGCCATTTCTTCTCCAACTCATTTTACAGATGAGGAAGTGAAGCAAACAGGGTTAAGTGACCTGCCTAGGGTCAACAGCTAGTGAGGCCAGATTTGAACTCAGGAAGATGAGACTTCTTAACTCCAGGCCCAGGACAGGTGTGCTACCTAGCTATCCTTACATTATGTGCATTGATATTTATATTTCTTAATTCTATATTGAGAAATCTGATTTTCAATCTAATTTCTTCTTTTAAAGATTTTCTCCTTCAAATTATTGTTTTTGCTATTGTGCATGATTTTTGGGTAGAAAGGTATAACTTTTTTTGTTTGACTGGAAAATGTTGGTTCATTTTTATTCATAATACAGTATTTTTGTTTTGTGTTTTGGGCATTTATTCATTTTTTCTTCAGTCTTTATAAGCTTTGTTATAGGTTTTTCTGCTTTCAACCAAGGCATTTATTTTTTTCCCTTGGATTTTTGGTCTTCTAGCCTTTCTCTTGTACTGCCAGTCACTTTTTTTCTGGTTTACACTGCCTCCTCTCTGATAAGGGGATTATCACCTCATGCCTAGATTATTGCAATAGCCTGTTGATGGTCTGTCTGCCTCAAGTCTCTCCCCATTTGAATCCAACCTCCATTCACCCACTTAGGTCATTTTTCTAAAGTGCAGATCTGATCATTCCTTCCCCTTTACCCATAAACTACAGTGACTTTTATCACCTCAAATATCAAAAAGCATTCAAAGCCTAATCTCCTCCTACCTTTAGTCTTTACACTGCACTCACCGCCACATACTCTTCTATCCAATGGTACTGGCCTCCTTGCTGTTCCATGCAGAAGACATTCCATTTCTCAGTTCTGGACATTTTCTCTGACTATCTCATGTCTGGAATGCTCTCCCTCAATTCCACCTACTGGCTTCCTTGAAATCCCAACTAAAATCTCATCTTTTACAATAAGCCTTTCCTAATCCCTCTTAATTCTAGTACCTTCCCTGTGTTAAATATATCTCATTTATCCTGTATATAGCTTGTTTGTATAGATTTGTTTGCATGTTGTCTACCCTATCAGATCGTGAACTCCTTGTGGGTGGGGGTCTTTTGTCTCTTTTTGTATTTCTAGTGCTTGGCACAGTTCTTGGTATATAGTAGGTGCTTAATGTTGATTTCCCTTTTTCATTGATATCTTCCTCTTCCATTTTTGGGGAACACAAGAATGTGACCAGTGTCCCTGCCTAGAGTAAACTTCTGGGGGCAAGAATTGGCTGATCCAGGTTTCCAGTCTTTTATTTGGACAGATAAGCTTTTTCTCCTGCCCTGTTGAATTTATCCTTTCTTTGGATAGTCAGAATCTATGCCTTCCATCTCTTGTGGGGAGGAGGGAAACAGGAGATTTAGTCCATTATTGCTAGAAAGGAACCAAATAAGAAACCCCATAATTTGTCCCTGAAGCATTAGCTTGTGAGATGTAATTTGTGCTTGGCTTATGGAGAGGATTGGAGGGTGTGGATGCTGAGTGTAATCTCTTAAACATTTAAGTCCTCTGATGTTATTTCATAAGGTTTTCATCATCTGTAGGAATCCCTAACTTTGTTGATTCAGCTTTAGTTACTCTATATGTAGTGCTTTTCTTTTTTTCTTTTAAGATCGTCCATCTTGTCATCTTGAGATTCCCTAACAGGCTCCTATTTGGGTTCCCTGCTGCTAGTCTCTCCCATCTCCAATATATCCTCCACATAGCTCCTGTAGAAATGGAATGAATAATGAGTTCACTAATCAATTTGATTTGTTTGAGCTTATTATTATCCAGGAAAGGCTGAAATAATCTGGGAATCAAAATCAACCAATCAGGAGGCAGAATGGGTGTTGCTCAAGTTTGACATACCAGATGAACTCTGCTGTGCCAGCAACCATGGGGCCAGTTCAAACTGGTTCATACTGGCCCCAAATGGCTGGAGCTTGACAAACACCCCGGTTATAGGTGCTCTATTCCTATTCTCCTGCCTCCCTTTTTTGTAAAACCATATAAACCACTCTCTAAACCCCCAATCTTTAGAGCAGCAGACTATGTTCTTGCTGTTCTCCATGCATATGCTGCACTTGCCCAAAAAATGCTTCCAGGTTTTGCACTTGAACTGTGTCTTCATTCCCTCTGCACACTGTACCCTAATTATTTTGCCAATTAATCATTCCCAAACTGATATTCCTAAAGCATAGATCTAACTATGTTACTTCCCTGTTCATGAAGCTCCTAGGCCTCCCTTTTATTTCTAGGACAAAATATTGATTTCATCTGCTATCATACCACCTGGACCAGAAGTCAAGCCTTGGAAGACTTGGAACCCTTTTATCCATGGAATTCCTACCATGGAAATCTTATGTCCTCACTGTGGGTTGCCTTACTCACCCACATCTAGGCCTTCTTCACTCCCCAGTCATCTCCTTGCTGGCTGCCATGTTGGTACCCTCCACCTTCTCCTTGACTCTCCCCATTTATTCTTGAAGTATAATCAACGTTGAACTGCTTAGCCTTTGCTAAGGGAATAGCAGGTCTACTGTCCTATGTCTCCATTCACCATCTCTGGAACTTTCTAAAACAAAATATAGCTCGTTGACTACAGAACATAAGATTCTTGAAGGTAGGGACTTTCCCTTTTTTATGCCCCCTAGCACAGTGCTTGGTATTTAGTGTTTTTTCTCATTCATCCAGCTATTTAAAGCCTTTCACCATTACCCTCCAACCTATTTTTCTAGGCTTACTACACTCTCCTTCACACTTGTGCTCAAGGTAAATTGGCCTATCAGGTGTTCTTATATAAAAGACATCCTATTTTATTAATGCTTTTTCGTAGGCCATGTGTCTGCAATGCACTCCCTCCTAATACGCCTCCCAACATCCCTATTTTCAAATCTCAGCTCAAGTGTTACCCAGTTGCTAGTGCCCTCCCACTGGAAATAACCAGTTTCCCCCAAGAGAATGTTATCACCTCCCACCCTAAACACCGCCCCCCCTCCCGGGACTGTTTTGATTTTGTTTTCCAAGTATTTACCAATGTCCCTGACCCTTTTCACATGCTTAATAATGCTTATTCAGTGAATCCATATTCGAAAGGATTTTATATAATCCAAGAATTTTAGTGTTTAAAAGCTGTCTAGTGCAGCCCACAGTTATAGGAGTTCACAGTTCTAAACTGCTTAGAATTGTTGGCAACTGACACCCTCTAGCTTCGTGGAAACAAGTATTAGAAATAGACCCACCTCCACTTAAAACCTGTTAACACAGAAATGTTTCTCAATGGGTCATTTCTTGTACTAGAAAAAGTGTAAGACATCCTTGGGGTTAGGGTTCCTAATGAGTCATGTGGACTAGACATAGATTCATAAATGAATTCTTTCAACTAGAACTTGCAACAGGAGCCCGTCTTGGTAAAAGGAGTGAAACTGAAGTGCAACCTTAGGAGGAGGGGCTTGTTGGACTTTGATATGTATGGTACTTAAATGGAAGCATTTGGGCTTGTGTCTTCTGCCAGTTTTTGAAGGTTTATGAATTAAACAAATCAAGACATTTCTGCTGGGGCAGAAGGCTCCCTCCAGTAGACTGCTGGAAAGTTAAATCCTCTTTTACAACTATATTAGTCAATAAATATTTATTAAGAATCTACAATGTGCCAGTACTGTGTTAAGCACTGGGAACATAAAGAAAGATAAAACAGCCCTTGCTCTTAAGTACCTTACAGTCTAATGGATGAGAAAATATGGAAACCATGTACAAAAAAGCTATATCCAAGACAAATTGGAAATAACAGAGGAAAGACACTAGCGTTAAGGAGGACTGTGAAAGGCTTCTTGTAGATTTTAGCACAGATTTGAAGTCAGGGAAACCAGAAGCCTGAGATGAGGTAGAGTTCCAGGCATAGGGGACAGCCAATGAAAATGTCCAGAGTCTGGAGACTGAAGTACCTCTAATGTGAAGAACAATAAGGCCAATGTCACTGGGTACCAGACTATGTGGTGGAAGGTGGGGTGTAAGGACTAAGACTGAAAAGTTAGAAAGTGGGCCAGCTTATTGAGAGCTTCAAAAACCAAACATATGATTTTATATTTGATCCTGGAGGCAATAAAAAGCCAATGAAATGGTGCAATGGATAGAATGCTGGGCCTGCAGTCAGGAAGACTTCTTCCCGAGTTCAAATCTGGCTTCAGACACTTACTATCTGTGTGACCCTGGGCAATTCACTTAACTCAATTTCCTCATCTGTAAATATGAGTGGAGAAGAAAATGGCAAACCACTTAAGTACCTCTGCCAAGAAAACCTCAAATGGGGTCATGAAGAATTAAACATGACTGAAAAACAACTGAAGTTGATTGAGTAGGGGGACGACAGGTCAAACTTAAACTCTGTGAAGATTTAAGCTGAGTGGAAGATGGATTGGAATGGGGAGAGACCATGTGACAGGGAGACCAATCAACAGGCTGTTGGAATAGCCCAGGTGTGAAGTGATGAGGTCTGGACCAGGGGTGGGGAACCTGCAACCTCAAGGCCACATGTGGCCCTCTAGGGCCTGAAGTGTGGCCCTTTAATTGAATCTAAACTTCACAGAACAAATGAGATTTTTCAAGGCCTTGAGGCGGCAGGTTCCCCACTCCTTGTGGACAAGGGTGGTGATAGCGTTGTACAAGAGAAGGCAGACAGTTTGAGAGCTATGTTGTGAAGGTAGAAATGACAGGCGTTGGCAACACATTGGCTATGGGGGTGGAGGATAGTGAATGAGGAATCAAAAATGACACCTAGGTCACAAGCCTAGGTGATTGGGAGGATGCCTCTAGTTCAGATTGATGTTTCCTGAACTTAACTATTTCTACTTCCTATTCATGTAGTCTGCAGGATACTCTAATGATAAAAACATTACTGGCTCCACTGAACTTCACCTAAAGCTTCTCTTTTGCTCTTTTGTAGTCATGGATCTAAATTTACGTTCTGGTGGCAGGACTACTACTTCTTGTTTGGTACCCATGCTTTGTGAATTTGTAGACTTCTGAGACCATGGGTTGAATGATTCCTTTTTTTGGATTTTGACTGCTTAACTTCTGAGTATTATAACTGCTATTTCTTCCCACATTATATCTACTTCATATATCTAATTTGGTGGATATACATAGGAAGTATTCTCCTTTCCCCTTCCTCTCTATTTAAAGACTTTTTGATTATTTTTTCAAGACGCCATGACAAATTCTTAGTAGCCTTTGTTAGGAGTAATCAATTCCTGTCCAGGAGGCTGTCATTTGAATATTTTAGCCTGTGGTCCAAAAATCAAAATCTTGAAACAGTGTTTAAGCAGAGGTTCACATCTCAAATCTGCTTTCCTCTTCTGAATCCTTTGTCTTTTGACAGGCAGCAGTGATGAAACTATCACCTATGACTTAAAGTCTAAAATTTTTGCCCAAGACTTCCTCATCTTTGACAATGCTTTCTAGGTTCCTCCTTGAAGTTTCATCTGCATTCATGTGAATCAACAAATGTGGGTAGTAATCATCTACTTTTGACAAATGTTGGGATGTTTTCCTTGGAGAAGACATTTTTTGGTTCCACGTTTTCGGTGCTCTTTCTCTGTGACATTTTTTCCCATTCTCCAATTTCCTGACATATAACTTGATTCACCTCTACTACTTTGGCTCCTTGTTCTTTATTTTCACACTAAAGAGCTTTTATATTTTATTATTCTGGATAATTCCATACTCCCTTTTTCTAGGAGGGATACTAGTTTGCACCTTAAACATCAGTAGTATTTGATTGAGATAGAAATACAAACATTTTTGCACAACTTCATATGTATAATGGGTATCACTGTTTTCTCAATGGGTGGGGGAGGGGCTACAGTGAGGCAAAGAATTTGGAATTCAAAATTTTAAAAACCTCACAAACATTATACTTAGGATTAGTTATTGCAAAATTCTACCTATTTTTATTGTTTATTGGAAGTGAGAAACCAAGTTCTTGTCATTCCTGATATTTTTCTTGGAGATTAGCTAGGCCTTGTGGATGATTATAACTCTAAGACTTGTCAATTTTCTTTATCACCTCTTCTACCCTGATACATGGCTAGTCTTTTTAGCACATAAATCTTGAATGCAAGCTCTTTTCTCTTTACATTTTCAATGTAGTTTTTGGGACAAGCTTTCTCTGCTTTAGACATGCCTCCTTATGTCTGTGACCCTCTGCACTCACTCACTCTGGAATTTGCTAAGAACGCTTTGCTAGACACTCTTGCAAAACTTTACTAACTGGAGCCTCAATGGCTACAATATGAGGTGAAAAACCAATTAGCTCTGTCTTGTGAAACTCTGTCCCTTGCTATAAAATGTCTAACGTAGGACTGACAATCACAATTGGGGAAGAAAATTGAGCCTATTATAACCCTGGTGTCATGTAAGGAGAGTGCCTTTCAAAGAAACATCGATTGCTTTCCCCCTTTCTGCCACAGCCTTCACTGTAGTCAAGGCACCAGACTATCTATCCCTGCTCCCTCTGGATTCTGTGTATATCCTCATCTCACTGGTGACCAGGATCTTTTCCCCTTTTCAAATTCCAACTGTGGAGAAGGGGTTAGCCATTCCCACCAACTGCCAATTAACTGCCACTCACAGGGCAGTCAAAACAGCCAGCTGAGGAAGCAGTGAGGCACCTTGAGGGAGTGGCAGGAGGCAGCATATGCCAGACCACTATCACTACCTTTATCACTATCTTCCCTCAGATCTTGACAGAGACAACTCAGGATTCTGAACCCAAAAGCCTTGAGAAAAACAAACTTTCCGTATTGAGGCCTCAGCCATCACTCTGTGAAGCAACCCCTGTGGAGAGAGAGCCTGGCAACTTTGCTACTGCAACAGTGTCATTTATCGAGGACCCAGAAAAGAAAATTCTTGCCATCAAAAATCCTTGAAACTGTCAAATAATTCAACATCAGAAACTGCTATAGTTTTATCAGTGGAAATGACATCAAAGAGGTATTACCATCTGCTTTATTGCTGCACCCTAAAGACCATGGGACCTTTCCATCTAACATGTATTACATGCTGAACCCTTCCATAAGTGTTTCCCCTCTCATTAGAATGTGAGCTTCTTGAGAATAGGGGCTGTTCTACTTTTATATTTACATCCCCAGTACTTTGCACACATTAAGTCTTAATAAAGGCTTTATTCACTTAATCTTCAAGCCTTGGTTGTCTCATTTTAAGCCACATGCCTTCTCTTGTATGTTAAAAGGTCTGTTGCTTTGCATAAATGGATTATTTTTATTCTTCTGCTCAAATCCCTTTAAGTCTCAGTCATAGATTGAACACTTGACCTAACAACTATGTTCTTGAGCCCTCCATCTGCCAGAAGTCCTTCTGCTCTTCTCCTCCTCAGGTTCTTCTTCAGACTCTCTCTTTATCCTTTCAGCTCTAGTCTTTCACCTCCTTCTCAGGTTTCTCTCCATGAATCCTTTTTGTATCAGTCATTCTCCCTTGATTTCTCAGGTCCTGCCGAACTTCTTTTCTCACATTCAGTCTCTGGCCTTCTTTACAATTTCAAAATCCTCCAAATCACTCTTTGGATTACTGGCCTTTCTTCTATGTAATCATTGCTAAAAGCAAGAAGTAGAATGAATAGTACATATAGTAGTGATGGGCTGAAACTAAGATGATGATATCTAATACAGATAAAAATAAGGTGAAAAACCAATTAGCTGTGTCTTGTGAAACTCTGTCCCTTGCTATAAAATGTCTAACATAGGATAGACAATCACAATTGGGGAAGAAAATTGAGGCTTAAAAAATTAATTGCACCAATATAGGATAGGAAAGACTTGGCTTAACAATTTGTGTGAAGCAACTGCTAATTTTAACGGATGACAAACATGAAAAATTCATGCATTTTTATATAGCAATATTAGAAACATAATGTCAAGTTGAAAGGAGGTAACAGTAACAGTTAACTAGAACTCATCACAATTACAGCTATTAAAAATGGAACCGGCTATCTAAAAGGTGAATGTTTTATATTATAAAGACGAACACTAGATGATCATTAGTTAGGGATGTGGTAGAGGGGGTACTTGTACCAAGTGGGAAACTGAACCGAAAGACCCCTAAAGCTTCTTCTAGCTCTAAGGTTTTATGAAACAATTAAACACTTTGTGAAAAATCTAAAAATGGAGATTATTTCAAGAGCCAGCTAAGTATTCCCATGGGTGCTGAAGGGGGGAAAAAAAATAGGATAAGTAGAAGGCCCATGATGTTGCCCTGGATAGATACCACTACAAAGGATTTATTTAAAGATAGGACCTAGAATTACACATAATGAGGAATAAGATGTGAAGAGTTTGTGATCATAGCAGAGAAGAAAATATCCACAATGATGAAATCAGGGATCCATCAAAGTAGTAAAAGCATCCTTACTAACAAATATGAAACACTGGTAGCCAAAAATGTTGTCGACAATCTTCTTTGCAAAGCCAATTATATCAGTCTTAACACATACATCAAATAAACCAATATTTATTAAGAATGTACATGTTTCCCCCAATAAAATCAACATGTTAAACTAGATGCATGATTATCTTTTATAAAACATTGCAGAATGTTTTAAATTACAGGTATAATAAAAGATATGAATTAATAATCTAAAATATTTTTGAAAATTAAAAATATATTCTCATCTCATCTGTCTATTGTACTATAAATACATTTCCTCTTGGCAACTTTACATTAACAATAAACCTTTCAAATAACTAAAAATACAATCAATTTGATAATGCACTAAGTATTAAACTGAAGGCTCAGTTTTATTGCACATAAAATATAAATTCTGCTAAGCTTATTCTACAAGAGATCATGCAGAAGAAATAATTTGCATAAAAAGGACTTAGAAATAGGCAGAACACTTTTAATGATAGTAAAAATATTAGACATTGGCAAAATTTTTACTTCTCATATTAAGCTATATTCAGCAAATATGTATTTGAGTCCTGATGTCAATAATCACAGATAGGATGCAAACTATTAAATACACAACCAAATAGTTGTTTGCAAATCCAAATTCACAGAAAACTAACTCTTTCTGTGGATGGTTTTATCATCATTCATCTCCTAACTCTCCACCACCCTTTCTAGTCATCTAAAAAAAATAAAGTCTGAAGAAAGCATGTCTTAAGCTTTATTTTAAATGGTAAAATCTTGATTAAGCAATACTGCCTTTTCTAGCATATACATGTACTCCAGAGCCATAATTTTACCACTGAAATACAAAAAAAAATAGGGAAAAAAGTATAGTTAAACATATATTATAAACTAAATCTCAGCTACTGAAGCGTTCATTCAGCTAAGGGCAGAATTTTAGACCATGGCAGTTGAATTAGGTATCTATAAAATTGCCAGTTACTTGATCTGCCTTTTTTTTAAAAATTTCCTTATCATAATGGCCTCTCACTTAAGTATCCCTGAAGGTATGCATCTTTCCATTAATAAGACTGTACTGAATAAACTTTGACAACATTTGAAACAAAAACTATATTTGAAAATGTACTATGTATGATAAGTAGAATACATACTTTCTCTACAGCAAAAGCCATTACCAGCATATTATATTCTTAGTCAAACAGTGTCTTTTCTTTTCAGAAGATGAATATTCTGGACTCTGCATAATAAGAAAAGAGAGCTCCTAAACTCAAGGTCACCTGAGAAGAAATTTCAAGACTAAAGATTTCATAATTAGTATAAAAGCTAAGGAAATTAAAAGTGAACCACCATTCTTCCATGTTATTTCTGAAGTAATAAATAAAACCCACTCTGGCTTTTGCATATTAAAATATTTGCTAAGTGAATTATAAAAAAGCAAGTGCAGCTTTCAGAACAGTGAGGTAAAATGTCAAACCCAGAATACACTGATAAACATGCAGCAGGGGTGAGTGGAAAGACCACTGGGAATTCAAGTCATGAGAATTAGGTTCTGGTTCCAGCTCTGCCACTATGAGAATAGTAACCCAAACAAATAGTAACCAGTAACCAAATAGCAACAGTAACCAGAACAAATCAATTAAAATCAGTTAATCTTCTAATTTCAGTTTCTTCATCTGTAAAATAAGTACAGTAGACTACATTAGGAATCAATAACCTTTTAACAGAAAAGAGCCATTTTTGTTATTTTTTAGAAAATAATTCTTTAAAAACAATAATGTCAAAGATTTTTTTACATCAACTTTATGTGCAGTTTACACATTTTAAAATGGAAGACGGGCATTGGAGAACTCCTAAAACTTCTTCCTGTTAGCATATTTGTACAAATTTCTTAAAGTAGCTGTCGAACGGCAGATAGAACCTGGCTCTGAAGGAATGAGGTATAAAACAGGAGGAATCACAGGTAGTAGGCAAAAAAACAGGCTTCACCTACATTGCTCCTATGCTGAATGAGAGCCTAAATGAGGAGACTACCTCCAGATGCGGTAACCCCTCCTTTTAGGACCCTATGCTTCCAACCTTGGAATATGAAAGCTCTGACAGTTTTGGGTCAGCAATCCATGGTTTCTAATAGTTAAGGCTTTTGCCTGTTAAAAGCTGCATAAAAGTAAAGATCTATGGTGGCCCTGGCAACCCCTGGATCAGATCACTAAAGCTTTCTTTAGCTCTAAAATTCTATGATTATAAAACTTATGCAATAGTAATCAAATCAATGCTTAAGAAGCTGTTTCATGAATTAATCATTAATGCTAAGTAGGAGCTGAAATTTTTTTATTCTATTACTTACTTTGCTTTATCTGGCTGGGAAGAATTCTTTACTTCCCTTAATTTTAGACTTTCCTGAGAAAATGCATTACTATCTCAAGCTCCATTTGTTTAAGTAAGCACATATAAAGTAAGGAAACGCTGGCTCTCCTTTCCTTTAAAAAAATTCAACCTAATACAATAGGAAAGAGCTTTTCAACAGAAATTCTTTAGTCCTTTGTCTTTGAGAAGTGTGCAATTACTAGTAATGGCCTGGTAGGTTTAGAAACAGATAACTGATACTTAACATCATCAAAAAGAAATAGCTAGATTAGCAAACAGATAGCTTACTAATAATTAAACTACACTTTCTTAGCATCTCCTTGGATTAGGATGTATCCTATTAGATCATAATTTTGATAATTAAAAAAAGCTTAGCTTTTCCAGATTATACATTCAGATTTTTCCCAAAATCTTAGCATGTATATCTCTCTCAAATGACTAAAAATTTAGACTATAAAGATGCAACTGAAATGTGAATGTTGATGCTTTACAAAAAAATTGTTAAAAGTGTGTACTATTCAAGCCCCATATTTCTATTCTATTAAAAGCTTAAATCACAAACTTTAGTAGTCAATAAATTATTAAGAGGTCTACTTCATATTTTTGTGTCAGAAGGTTGTGGTCTAACAAGGTAGCAGCGTTCAATCAATGCACAGCCACTTTTTTACTCATATTTCCCAACATTTCCTAACATTTCCTAAAGAGAATGCACTGGAAGACAAACATTTACCAAACTCCCTGGATAATGACAGCTATTAATTCCTATGCATTTGACTAGGGTACCCTGAAGTTATATAACTGGGGTCAATGACATACCATTAAAGTGGTGGTATACAATGGGAACGTAAAAGAAAACATCACCTTAGTCTGCTTGAGTTGTCATGTCCCATGTGAGTATTTTTTTGTGACAAACTATTTTCTTCGATAATAATCCTATTCATCGAATTTTTAAAAGTGACATTGTGAAATCAAACTTTTATAGTTAAAAATGCTGATTATAGGCTCATTGTAATAAATAAAATTGTATGCAATATTTCTATCGCTGGGGGGGAAAAGTACCCTGAGTACCTTTAAAAAAATAATCTAACCCTGAGAAGTAATTTTAATACTTTTCAGGTCAAGAATACAATAAATAGATTTAGTTTTACTTGTACTTTCATTTTCTGACAAAGCTATTATTTGTATTTATTTTAAAAAAGCAATGTTTTCACAGTAGTCACAAGGTCAAAGAAAAAACTATTCCCAAAATACTTGTATATAAGAAACAATCTGAAAAGCTAACATTATATTTAATTAAATTAAAATTAACCCAACCTGAATGTATATGATATGCTGAGTACATAAAGGAACTGTGACCTTGGAACTTTTCTCCCAAAAGCTAAAGTCAATATTTACTAAAATATAAGACTACAAAGTTTTATAATTTCTTTCAAGAGAATATTATAAAGAATACAATTCTGATAACTTTAAAATGTAATCTAGCAATTTCCCATGGTACTAAATGAACTGACAACTATCTACTGGGAACCCATTACAAGTTGCCTACATATAATATTTTACTCTGTGATCCATGTGTAGGATATTCTTTGAAGTCTATTACGTGTTGGCTGAGAACATAAACTTGCCCAATTTTTTTTATACCTTTAGTTCTCAAAATACAAAGCAGTAAGCCAATTACTTATTAATAAACCTACTACTAAAAAAAGTTTAAACCATATAGAAGATTTAGCAAAACAGAATGCATCTAACTTCATGTTATATTGTGTTATGTTAGGTTTTACTGTTAGTAGTTATGTTTTAGGGGTAGTAACTTGCAAAAGTCTAAATCTATACAATGATGAGATAAATTCTAATACCATTTAATTACACCACCCAGAACTCAAGGGCTGCAGATCCAAAGACATGAATTATATATTTTTTGACATACCCTTAGAAAAAACAGGTATTATGCATTTGATTTAAGGAAATGGAATATTAAAAGTTTTGAGGAAATAAAACTTGTTTGAAAAGAGAATAACTGAAAAGCTTTTTAAAAGATGGGATCCAATAAATTATATGAAAGAAAAAACATAATAAAGGCACACTATATATTCAGTTTACCCCTGCAGCATTTAAATAACGGTGGTCTAAATAATCATTAACTTTTTCACAATTATGAACATGATCACTATAATATCCTTTCATAAAAAAGAAGGTAAGCCTGCGCATTAATTACTCTGGATTCTGGAACCATTTGCACATGAGTATCACTAACATGCACCCACTGTCCTGCTGATGCTCCTGTTGTTTCTTTTAAACCTATAATACAAAAATAAATAACATTAAAAATGTTTAAATTCTTTTTTTTTAAATTGTGGCAGTTAGCTCAAAGAATAATTCTAATTCTGAACTAAGACATCCATAAAGAAGGGGTTTAGGGTCTTTTTTTACTGTAGGAGAAGTAGGGAAAATGGATATGTTGCCTTGATAATTTTAGTAAAAACACACAACCTTAAGAAAAACACGATTTTAAAGTGCACTAAACATTTTAAACTACCAGTATTTGACCTCTACTCTAATATCTGAAGTGTTCTTGTTTATAGCACTTAATTTAAAAAAACTGTGAAGTTTACAATAGGAATACATCATTGTAAGGAGTAGTATATAAGCTATTGTCCTGTCTTCTGGAAATTATAACTGGATGTTATGTTATTTTACACATTTACTAAAGCTTTTAAACTTCAAAGTTGACCAAAGAAATAGAAACATTGAATTCTAAGTATGACATAAATGTTTTAGGGCTTTAATAATTTGAGATCCTTTTGTTTCTAATCCAACAGGCTATAGTCTAAAACCATTAGTTTGGAGATATCCCTTTACTTTCACTTATGTTCTTGCTTAGACTATTATTGAAATAGAAGTCCATCTTCTCTTTCTTAAAATTTCTAAAGAAGGTGATGCTACAATTTCCCTTACCAAGTCAAGAAACTTTTCCTAATATTTAACTTTATCTTTTTTTCATTCTTACCAAAGGTGTTTTATTTTGATTACTGTAACATAACTAGGTAACAGCTCTGTGCACCACTACCTGTCTCTATATATTGCTAGATGTTGTTGCATATAAGTAAGTTCCTTCCTGGGAAAAGCATCTTCCAAATGGCACTTTTTTTTTTTTGGTAAGACAGCTGGGGTTAAGTGACTTGCCCAGAGTCACACAGCTAATGAGTGTTATGTGTCTGAGGCCACATTTGAACTCAGGTCCTCCTGACTCCAAGGCCAGTGCTCTATCCACTGCACCACCTAGCTGCCCCTCAAGTGGTACTTTTTCAAAACATTATGGTAAAGGTAATAAGATGGTTATCTATGTAATAAGATAGACATATTACATACTCTCTCTCTCTCTCTCTCTCTCTCTTTTGGTGAGGCAATTGGGATTAAGTGACTTGCCCAGGGTCACACAGCTAGTATGAAGTGTCTGAGGTTGGATTTGAACTTAAGTCCTCCTGACTCCAAGGCTGGAGCTCTATCCACTGTGCCACCAAGCTGCCCCTTATATACTCTTAAAAGATTTGTGTCATCAAGTCCAATATTATTTCAGTCCAAGAAATATTCCTCTAATTACCAAGAAATTTCAAGTAGAAGGGCACTGTCCATTATTTCTAATGAAAGATCATCTAGGCTACAATTTTACCTCTTTAGAAAAGTAATTTTCAGGCTGCAGCGAGGTGGTGCAGTGGATAGGACATCAGCCCTGAAGTCAGAAGGACCCGAATACAAATCCGGCCTCAGACCAAACACTTGACACTTACTAGCTGTGTGACCCTGGGCAAGTCACTTAACCCCAACTGCCTATAGGGGAAAAAAAATACTGAACTAGAAGAGCAATTTTTACTTGGTAGTAAAATGAAGAAATTAAATTTCAATTTATTTGGTACACATATGAAGCAGTAATTTTAATATCAAAAGATGAAAGAAGCAATGAAGTATGACATACCGTGGATATTTTTATTTCCAACAACATGGTCCAATGATTTCTTGGAAGTTGTTCTGACTTTCACATAAGCTGTGTAATGGCCTCCTCTCATTGAGCCACTATGTTCCACTATTCCATAAAGACCATAGAGAACTCTCTCTCCACTGGTTACATTCTTTTTTTCAAAAAACAAAAAAAAATTCCAAATTAGTATTTTGTAGGAGTAAAGGATGCTGAGGGAAATTCTAAAGGTTATTAATTAAATTCATATTAAGCCACTAAACATAGTTATTATAAAATTTGGCCATTGCAGAACTTCAGCACATGGAAAATAGGGACAAAATCTACTTATTTAGAATTGGCAAGAAACCCAAGGTTAGAGCATTAAATTTATTGTCTGGAAAATCCTAAGTCTTTAGGCTATTTTATTATCTAATAGAAATAAAAAAAACAAAAAACTTCCCTTTCAGGAAGTAAGTACAAAGAACTATACTAAGATTAGATCAACATTCTTAACAGTATTTCACTCAATAGACAATCCCATCTCCCTGAAATAATTCCTCTTCCTGTCTGTGGAAAAAAACTTTATAGGCAATCATTAATGCACCTAAGTATTAAAGCTACACGAAACACCTTAGGAGAAAGGATCATTAAATTCAAGTCCATTTTTTAAAATACCTTTTGTGGACTGACTTACTACTCTGAAGGTTTTAAGATCATCATATGATACAAAGAAAAGAAGGTCAAAAACTTGTTTCAACAATAAACTGGATGGCTTGATTGCTCATGGATCTTTACCAATGTCCCTTGCTTTCAGAGATGTTGTGAATATTTATATATTATGTAAAATAATTACCCAAAGACAAAAGAAGGGATAACAGTGAATACAATATTCCTGATACGTTGGTTTAATTAAATAGCTGTGTATCTGCTTCAGGGAACGAATATATTTTAAAAAATATACAAATACATTATATAGATTATACTTTATAGCTATTACCATAAATGAAAACAATTCATTACATACTCTACCTTGCAGGTAACAGAACAAAAGGGTGCTAAATCTAGCACAAGTGGGAAATCCACGTGTCTGTTTACTTTTCGCAGACTCAAACCAGCCTTCAAGAAAAAAAGTGTAAAAAAATGTTGAAATCTATAGAATTCATTTGATTTTGCACACTTTGCTACCTCAACTTAGTTGCTTTTTTACTTTACAAATTCCCTCAGCATCTGGGGTCTTCTTTTGAACCATTCCTCTGCAGGCTGGCCCCCTTCTCCCACTGGTGAGTTCCTTCTAGAGCTACCATTCTGGAGACAGGCACAGGCCAGGCATGTTTCATTACCCTCCCAGCTGTTCTGATTCTGTCTCCTCTGTTCTCCTACATTGGTAACTAACTCCCTCTACTGTCCCACTTTTCAGCTCCCTTTTATGTGTGGTCATCCCCCTTAGAATGAAAGCTCCTTGAGGGCATGTACTACCCTTTTGCTAATATTCGTATTCTCCCAGCTAAGTACAGTGGCTGGCATGTTGTAAGGACTTAATAAATGCTTATTGCCGACCTCAAGCATAGCACTTTATTACACAAAACCCAAAAGATGGAAAAAAAGTAAAATTATACAAAACTCATTTCCCATAGATTTTAAAAAATATATAAAGGTGACACGGAGAAGTGGATAAAGGCCTGGTTCTCAATGTTGAAAAGAAAGGTTCTAGTTACAACTCTGACAACTGGCTCAGTGACCATGAGCAAGCCTTTAATGTCTAGTTCCCCAGGCAATTCTCAAGACTCCAGGTTGTGCAGTTGTTATACATTAGCATAGGAGTTTCTTTACTGGGAGCTCCCTACGATGAAATTAGAGAGCCAGACCAAAAAACAGAAAAGTAAAAAATTTAAGGTGATAAACATTCTAGAACTGGCACTCAACTAACTTAATGCCTATATTTGAAGGTGCTATGGCAAAGATATTTCTGCAGATTAGTGGTAGTTTTTTAAAAAAATGAGTATGAATAAGCATGTAATTACATCACTTAAAAAAATTTAAAAACATACTGTTATGTAGTAAAAAGAACATTGGAATTTTAATCAGGAGACCCAGGATTCTAGTTTACATGTGTGACCTTGGGCAAGTTTATAAACACCTAAGTTTCCTCTTCTGTAAAATAGCTGGGATACTTAACAAGATGATTTATTAAAAAGTCTCCTTTTTAGCTGCAAAATTCTCTAATTATTTAATGTCTGCTTACTATAAATAGGGAAAAAGACTCTAAAAAGATTTATCAATTAAGAAAGTGCCAAGAATTAGTAAAGTTATGTGCCAATTATAATCAGGACCTAAAAGAAATAAGGATGGGCCTATGCAATGGCCTCTACCTTGTTTTTTACATTAGGCTTCCACTAGAAGGCCCTAGGGGGAAAAAACAATATTGGGACCCAGAATTTGCCTCTAGGTATTTTTTTTTTAAACAGAAAAGCACTAAATTATAACAAGAGCTCAAGACAGATGTTTTCTTTATTTCTGACTTATGTTTTCAAAGACAGCTTTTGTCCTCAGCTATTCCTGTTAACCATTTCTCATAGTTAATACGGAACTTCAATTTTTTTTGATTTGTACTTGGGGTTTGTGGGGGAAAGGACGAGAGGCTTTTACATGTGAATTTTAAAAAGTAAACTATTTTTAACAAAAAAAATTATCTAAAAATATTTTAAAACAAATTTTTATTATAAAAAAGTTAAACATTCTCTGTCACTTAAGTATGTATGATTCCATTGTTTTTATTGTAGAATCTCTAGTAGTATACCATGGGATATGAGGTTCCACTAAAAAATGTTGAAAATTTACCATTTCATTCATCTGATTGCAAATATTTATTTTTTTCAGAGCACTGTGCTAGATATCATGGGAGAGATAATAAGAATGAACTACCTTTATAGAATTTATAATCTGTAGGATACACAAGACAAATGCCACTATTAAAGTGCAATAAGGAAGACTCAAAATGCTTGGTGGATGGTATAAAGTCTAGGTTATGATCATAAGCTACTTTTCAGTTTAATGTTTATATCTGCAGTAGAACTAATTGCATTGATGTGGACTTTTTTACCTGATGGAATCTTTTAAGATGCAGAATAAGAATGGCTGGAACAGCAGAAATGAGCAACTGTTTCCTGGCATTGGTATACACACCTTCCGGCTTCTTTTCTACATGAAATATAATTTTTAGAATGTATCTGTAAAATTGTATTAAACCATATAATATATAATTATTCACTACTGCACTGGCTATATAGTGAGATAAATTATTAAAAATTTTAAATATGGACTGAAAAGATCTATACAAATACAACTATAAGAAACAAAAGAGCATGATTCATAATGACCAAAATGTAAATTAAGAAAACACTAAAAGACAACCAAATTCTGGTCAAATACATCAGCCTATCTTAGTCCCAGATTAACTGGGGTTAAAACACACTTACTTTCTTTTAAAAAATGATGAACTCAAGAAAGTAAAGTATTGTCAATAAAAATTGCTGAATTACATAACTTCACTTAACTTTTGTATGGGAAGGAACTATAAGAGTACTGCTGCTTCTGAAATGAGCAATATCAAAATAAAATTGATAAATAAAAAAGTTAGAAAAATACAAATGTAAGAAAAGAATTAAGTAGAATCAGCAACAAACACTTGAAATCAAGTTCTACAGACATCTGCAAAGTTTCATTGTGACTCAAGTGATGAAAACTTTATTTACGTAACATTTTATAAACTTGATTTATATATATTCACCTTTAAATTTCTCTTATAACAATGCAATACTTAATACTATCTTGAAATACCAAAAATATCACTCTACCACATTTTCAGAAATGTAGTATTTCTTACTGAACAAATAAAACTCCATTGTCTCTTGAAAATTCCACCTTTTCTGTGCTCTTCAATATGAAACTAGACACATTTGTACAAAACTTCAAATCAATGTCAGTTCATTCTAGCGCCCAAAAGAGCCTGGGAAAATTTAACCATGCCTACAGTCTTAAAGTCCTAGAGTACCTCGTAGAGGGATCAAGTACAAAGAGCAAAAGATCCTATGCTAAATCCAAACATCTAATACCAGGGTCAGCAAACTATAGCCTAAGGCCTTTATTTAAATTTAGTCCTTTATTTAAAATCCTTTTATTCTGAAAACAAAGTTTCATTGTATTTTTTGGGGGGCAGGAGGCAGCAATCAGGGTAAGTGACTTGTCCAGGGTCACACAGCTTTTAGGTGTTAAGTGTCTGAGGCCATACTTAAACTCAGGTCCTCCTGACTCCAGGGCCAGTACTCCATCTACTCTATCCACCCAGTTGCACCCATTGTATTTTAAAATATATGATATACTCTAAGCTCATAGCCCCTACAAAAATTGGTGGTGGTGAATTTGGTTCTTGAGCCACAGTTTACCAACCACTTATCTAGTATGACCTAGCATCACAAGTGAGCTGTGCACTCTTGTCAACATTTAAAGACTGTGCTCTTTATGTCCACTGGAGATCTTGGAATATTCAATTGTTAACACATACAGCTTGATTTATCATAAACAACCTAAATGTTAACGGTATGCTACACAGAATTTTCTGGCTTCAAAATACTTATATATCCTAGCACTTAGCACAGTACCTGGCACATATTTGGTACTTTAAAAATGCATGTTTATGAAAAATATTAAGAAGTGTATCTTGCTTTCAGAAAAACCTGTAAAGACTTACATGAGCTGATGCAAAATGAAGTGAGCAGAACCAGGAGAACATTGTATACAGTAACAGCAATATCATATGATGATCAACTGTGAACGATTTAGCTATTCTCAGCAGTACAACAATCCAAGACAATTTCAAAAGACTCATGATAAAAATGTTATCCACCTCTAGAGAAAGAACTGATGAAGTCTAAATGGAGATAGAAGCATATCTTTTTCTTTGCTTTCTTTCTTTTTCTTTTGGTCTGTGTTTTCTTTTACAACACAACTAATACAGAAATGTTTTGCATGACTGCACATATATAACCTATATCAAATTGCTTGCTTTCTCATTGAGGGGGGAAGGTAAGGGAGGAAGAGTCAGAATTGGAACTCAAAATTGAAAATTAATGTTAAAAATGTTTACACGTAATTGGGAAAAAATTTGAAAATTAAAAAAAAATGTGAATTGAAAGTGTTCCTTGTTGAGATTTCTGCATATTACACAGTAGGTATCTACTAAAATTTGTAAAACAAAAGACCCATATCTTCCAAAATGGATGGACAGGACCTGGTAAGGTTTGTCAACAGAGAAATCATAAGGAAATCGTACTAGAAATTCATTTTTGTGTTCAAGTTTTATAAACACAAATGTTTAAAGGATATTGTGATATATGAGTAAATGCAGTGTACATTTCAACTCAGACTTCACTAGAGCAGCTATACATTGGAGTCTGATACTTAATAATCCAAGTTTATAAATTTTTTTTATCAATTCAGACAAGGATGCTTAGACTCTACAAAGAATGCTTCATGTTAACCAAACTCCTAAGAGATTTATTTAGACGAATGACCAATTCCAGTTATCCTATTCTGCCAGTCACTTATCCTCTTATCAATAATATACTGCTGTCTGCATGGGGCACCTCCAAATTCTTGGTGAGCTGATCCAATTAGGAAATCAGCAGGTCCAATCAGAAAATTTAGACAGGCATTTCTGTCTAAAAATATAATTACTGTCAATTATATAGAATCAGAATTCTTTTTCCCTTGCTCAGTGATGAAAGTACACTACATATTCTTAATTTTCAAATCCTCTTATTCAATCTTTTCTCAATGATCACTAAAACATCTGGTTATTACTTAATTTGACTTGTACTTTTAAGATTTGTTGTGATTTATGAACTTAAACCTTATCTTATGATGGTTTATATCTTATAGGGTCATAAGACCACAGGATTTAGAAGTAGAAGGTCATCCAGTGCCACATCTTCATTTTGCAGATGAGAACAATGAAGCCCAAAGACAGAAAATTGCTTGTCAACAAGACAGTAAGTGGCTGAGCCAGGTTTTAAGCCTGGGTCTTCTAATTCCAAATGCAGTGCTTTTTCCATTCACTATACCATATTAGTTGTCTTGATGAGATTTGGGAGGCACCTTAAGGTGATCACTTATATAAAAAAAAAACTATAGAGTTCTTTCCTTCAAGGAGTTTATTATCTAATACAGGGATGAGACAATAATGTTAGTAAATAATCAGCCCAAGACTTTACCTGTAGAATTGATTTTCTTTTGGTACATCTGTTTCTTTTCGGTACAATTCTCACATAAAAGCTTGTTATTTCCCATTAGTAACTCCACAGATGTAAACTGGTAGAGACAGGACTGAATTGAACATTCTTTGGAAGAAGTTGTATAGCTCTGAGAAAGGGTTTGGAAAGCATTCTGGGGGCCATAAGATAACGTATACTTCTCCACTGAACATAATGAATTGCTTGAAAATTTTAATGGCTGATGTTCATTGTTAAGCCCTGTACCTCTAGTTACAGTGTCACTTAAGCTGAGTTTGGCAGTGGCTTCAGTGATCATTTCCTTACCACTCTCATTGGCAATTGCAAATGGAATTTCAGGGACTACTGATGAATGGGGAGGAATACCTTCATGCAAAAAAGATAAACTACTGGGTCTAACAGAAATGGTTTGCTTTGAAGCACTTTCACATTCTGAAGCCTCACTGTCAGCATCAGCGCTGCTTTCAGAATGGCTGACTTCCTTCTCACTTCCATCAGTCTGACTTGCATTTGCTGTAGTCTCAGACACCCTACTTGTGTCTCCTATGGACAAAATTGAAGAATTCCCATTTATTTCAAGGTTTCCATTTTTCTGTTGCATGATAACAGGAATTTTCTCTTCTTCCCCAGATGATGATTTTCTTACAAGTCTTCTTTCATAATTTAGCTGATTCTATAAATTGATATGATGTTTTCAGAGAAAGAAAGGAAAAAATGGACTTAAAAATTAGGTTCCAGTACTAGTTAAACTTTCTAAAATTATCTGCTAACATCTTATTATTCTCCAACATATACCATTTGCTGCAAATGAAATTTCTAAATTTGAATTCCTTGATATTTTAGAAGATCCATATTATTATTTTAAGATAGATAAGAACTTACCAAGCATTAGTCACAAAATGTTGGTATACAACAATTAATTCCAATCCAAAATTATAAACGAAAAAGTACATCACAAATCTTGCAATTACGTAATGTTGACTACCTAACAGAATTCAGGGAGGAGTCTATTATCTGTCCAAGTTTTGCTGAATTACTAAAGTGGCCCAGAATATGAAAAACAATTATGTTTATTGTGGCAGTGAGTGACAGGGATAAAAGCAGCAAAATCTACCTCAAAATCCAAAATTAATTTAACCAAAAGCTTTAACTAGCCAAAATGACTTTTTTCCTCCTTTTTCAGGTCTACTCTATGACTATGTATGAGATATATACAAAAAAAACCAAAACTCACAATGAAAGAAAGGATGAAGAAAATCTACAAACTGAACAAATCATTTTAACTTGGATATTTCAGTGAAGTGCTTCTTCCACTATAATGCTGCACTCATAATTGTTCAATTTCTCTTTAAGTTTATGCCTTCTAGTTAGCAGATACATCTTAGAAAGACTTTTCAATAGACTAAACATAGTAATAATAAACTGATGTGAAGGATTACTTTTTGTCATGAAAAGGGGAAAATGAATGGGAAGAAACCCTACAGTTGTGGTAAATGTTCAAACTAGACCCCGATTTGTTTATTTTTCTGTTGTCCTGTGCTAATAAGTTTTTGCCTTACACCATTTTCCAATAAAAATTTTGCATTCAAATGGTTTCCCTTACTATTTTTACATTTATTTTCCATCACAGCAGTACTTCTTCCTTTCTTTCCATCAGCTGCCTGCTTGCTTTTTTCTACCCTGTCCTCTTCCTCCTTCTCCACGCATTTACATTTCTGGCTTGGCTTCATTTATTGCTGTTTATTTCTTTCCTTTTTTTTAAAGGCAATTGAAGTTAAGTGACTTGCCCAGGGTCACACAGCTAGTAAATGTCAAGTATTTGGTCTGAGGCCAGATTTGAACTCAGGTCCTTCTGACTTCAGGGCCGGTGCTCTATCCACTGAGCCACCTAGCTGCCTCATTTATTTCTTTTTTGATGATTCCTTATCATTCTTCATGTTAGATTTTGTAGGGTTTTAAAAGGAAAGTTGTAGCACAATTTACCAGTAAAAAAAAGTGAAAAAAATCTATTACCGTGAAAATTATTTGTCCTATTTGTTAATTTTTTAAGTTGCAAGGGAAAGAAAAAGGCTCTTGGCAAGTAATTAACTAAGATGTCTGAAATCAATAATTATTCAAAATCTATTAAGTTTAACTAAAAAGAAAAAAGCCAACAAGTAATTTATTTCTTTGCCTACTTTCAAGTGGTTGTTTTAGGCACTGCAGACAAAGTATCATCAACTATCAGTCCAGAAATAATAAAAATATTTTTTTATCAGAACTACATAATTTGTAAATATAGCATTGGAAGAAATAGTTGTTGGTCAATTAAAATAATGACGCATACTTAAATGATTAATTTAAAATAAATTAAATATCCCTTAAAATATTAATGATAGTTTATAATTCTGCCAGACATTCTTGCAGAAATATCTTGATAAAGTTAGTGACCAGGAAAAGAAATGCAAGTGGTCTGAGTCTGCCTTTCTAGAACAGATTCCCCAAAGATTAATGGATACTTCTTCGCTATCTAATTTCAAATCTGTTACTGTGTAATAGCTAATTTTATGTCAACTATTATCATATGTGATGACAGACTACTAAGTACACTAGAAGATAAAAATGTGATTTTATAAATTTTCTTTTTCTGGTCTAGACTTGGGATTTCATTAGTACAGGAAATTCCATGTGAGGTAACTCCCTCTACCAATGCAAAATGACAACTGATCTGCAACTAAATGAGTATTAGAGTTACCTGTGGCACAGAGAACTTAAGAGACTCACCCTGAGACACATAGGAAGGAAGTATGGGTCAGAGGTGGGATGTGAATCCAAGCACTCTATCCACTAGGCCACTTTACCTTCCTATTGCCTTCCACATTGAAGGAGAGGCACTGAGACTCAGAACACAATCCCTCATATGGGAGGCAAGCAGTAAAATCTTAACTAATTCCAATTCAGTAAGCTACAGTAAAAAACAGAAAAACTAAAATTCTTATGGGATGAAGTAATTTAATCAGATTTCTGAGTTTCTGTAGGGAAGATTTTCCATTGGGTTATATACATTTGCTTAGTTCTGCTTTACTTCCTTATTCCTGGTTAAGTTCTAGTCAATTTTCTTAATTTGGGTTAAGAGGTAATCATTCAGAAATTAGTCTTTTCCCTTTCTTTTAACTTTGTGAGGTTTTATTAGAATTGTGTTTTATCTTTGTTGATTTAACTAAGAATGATCTCTTTATGTTATCTTATTTGCTTTTTGTTTTTCTATCACACAGTGATAGATCAGGTGCTAGAAGGGACCTCAAAGGCTACTCACTGTCCAACTCTACTCTCTCAATTTTACAGGTGAAGAAACTGAAGCCTAGAATAATTAAATGACTTGTCTGAGGTCACAAGTAGTAAACAAAAAAGGTAGTATCTGAATCTCAATCCTCTGACTCCAGAGCCAAAAAAAGAATCTATTTCTTCTATTTACATGAACTTTAATTAAATGCGTTAACTTTGTACTTTAACCTGGTTAGACATATTTTAAAACATATGTATACATATACAGATTAAAAGTACAAATACCTGCTGAGTTTTTATAATAGGAGACATATTAATAATAATATGCCAAAACCATAATCAACTGATCAATATTGCAAAAATAACATCTATAAACACAAAATACTGATTAAAATGTTCCGTTCAATTTTTTGTTTCATAAAGATAATACTATAAGAAGTTTATTTTTAGAATTATTAAAAATAAGCAAGCACATGAGATGGCTCTCAGGGATGAAGAGGGATATTGAGGATAACTATGATGATGTAAAAAAGAAAGGATATCAATCAAAACTTATTCAAAAAGAATAAGCAAGCAGCTTATTTTGCTTTGGTGCCTCCAAAGGCCAATTAATAATGAAATCATTATCTAGAAAAAACATTTTTGATCCTGAGGTAGTTTCCATGTATTACAGAATCAGACTATATTGTGCTAAAATTGATATGAATCACATTAGGAGATTAGAACTGTGTTTTACAAGCCCTTAGGCCACAGAAGGCTCAGAACATGGAAGCTTGTTTTCCTTATATTGGTTTAATTTCTATAAAATTTCATATTCACTAAGTACTACTGTTTATTTTAGCCAACACTACATCAACTGTAATTTAATCATGAGTACACCTTGGAGGCTAAGAAATCACACTAGTTATCAGGATATTAACTTATACGTAGTAACTGTTTAACATATCTAAAGGCACATAGAACTTTTCTTAATTAGTACTCCATTCACTATATTTCACCTACTATAAAATGTCAATAACCATTTCAGTAAGAAGGTGACTTATTAAAGGTGTTTTTTTTTAATTTAAGAAAAAGGACAACTTTTCGGTCCATGCAAATTAGATCCAACAGAAGTGGAGAGAGGGAGGACTCAAGATTTCATCAGTGTAGGGAACTCCTTGGTCTGCAAACTCCTTTCAACAATACAAGACCATTGGTAATTGCTCATCTTAAAGAGATGCTTGAGTGGACTGAGAAGCTAAGTGACTTGCCCAGGGTCATACAGGCAATATAAGACAAAGGCAAGACCCAGGCCTTCCTGAAGCCTGCACAGAACAAAATGCTTTATTATTACCAAAGAACTGGCATGAAGCACAATGCTGCGTGTCCCATTTTTATTTAGCCCTGCTTTGTATAGTACCATGAAATTATGAGTAAATAAAATCAAGTAATATGCATGCATACTAAAATTTTTTTAAAAATAACAATGTTAAATACCTTATTTGTGCAGGTTTTAAATGAACAAAAAATAAATCTGCATGCTAAATGCATATAATCTTAGCTTACCTTATCTTTAGTTAAGGAGTGTTTCCTAGTACTTTTTAGATGATTATTCATTGTAGTAGCAGTAGTACAGTTGTACTGATCTAGGTCTGCCTCTTGTAAACTCTTACATTTATTCATTCTTCCCAATGAAACAGGTTTTGACACCTAGGTAGATCGACATATAAACAAACTCTATAGCAAATAACTTTTAAAAATACCCATTTTGTTTTTATACTCACTTGAAACATAAAATTATCTCTTCTCCTACATATCAACACCAATAACTTAAGTAACAAGCATAGTGGATTTTTTTAAATCCTTAGTTATTAGATAGATATTAAATTTTTAAAAATGTCTTCCATTTTATTATTATTTCCTTTAGGCATTTGAATAACTAAAATATTACTCAGAAAATCTTTAATAATTTTCTTTTTTCTTACCCTTTCTTCTATTATAGGAAGCGAAAGATCAATGAACGGCTCTTTCATGGCTGAGATCTTTGAGAAAAGAAAAGCAAGAGAAGACTAACTAAAGTATAAATACAGTAAAATTCTTTAACAATTATTGAGATTTTTGTTTTTAAAGAAATACAACTTATAAAATTATGTCATCAAAACTCCAGAAACTAAGGAAAATTTAAAACAATTTCTTTGTATGTAAACAGTTCAGAATATTGAATCAGTAACAATGTAAAAAAGCTTTTTCAAATGATGTAAAGAGTTTAAATATATGATACTATAACATTTTAATGATATTTGAAGTTATCTGAAAGGAAATAATATTTAATAAAAACTGATTATCTGGGAAAATTCAAAGTGTGCTTGAGCAAAAGTGTTGCAAAGAGAGAAATGTATTTCAGATAAAAGAAAACATAGCAAAAATAGTTATTTAAGAAAAATTGTCTTTTCTTACTCAAGAATATTCATAAAATATATTCTTAAAAAATTAGAATGATGCCATGATGACACATATTAGACTTAAAGGCGATAGGATATGATATGATATAACAGAATATGATATAATACATAATACTTTTTAAAAAGTGAGTACAGAAAGAACACGGGAAATGTGCCAACATTTTTGGCCTATTCTGTCATTATAAACCTGTACCAATTCAACCCTCTAACTTTTCAAAATTCCACAATGGCAATAAAATACTTTATCAATAGGTTCCAGATATTAAAATAAGAATTATCAAGTAAAATAGGAAGCCTGTGGGATGATTTAATCAGAATTTTCCAGACAAAAAACCCACTAAGTATGGCATTTGAAATGAAAATGAATACCAAATCCAATAACAGAATTCAACGAAAAAAAATCAGTAAGCTGGATCTTCTTTTTGTATCTTTTATAAGTGCTTGTTGGTCAATAGAATTCTATACTTCAATGGAAGGAAAATATCAGTAAATTATATTTTAAATTAATATTTTGTCTTAATATTAATATTTTAAGTTAATATTTTGTTTTAGGTTATTATAATAGTACCAGACCTGTTTTTCATGCAATATTCTTCCCACCCCAATATAACAAGTAAGTTAATATGAGTAACAGTATCTGCTTTCCTTAACCCTTACAGGTTTGTTTTCAGGATCAAATAGAAATAACATATTAAAAAAAAGCACAGTGGGGAAAAAGCAAGTGTCTACATGGATCTAAAATGATTTCTACATTCATGCTCTAGAAAACAAGCATCTAGGAAAGGAGAGTATCACATTTTATTTCTTCCCACTTAATAGTATTTTATTTTTTCCAATTACACGTAAAGACAGTTTTCAACATTCACTATAAGTATTTATTTATTTATTTAGGTGGCAATTAGGGCTAAGTGTCTTGCCCAGAGTCACACAGATAATAAGTGTCTGAGGACAAATTTGAACTCAGGTCCTTCTGACTTCTGGGCTAATGCTCTATCTACTATGCCACCTAGCTGCCCTTGAGTATCACATTTTATATGGGACTAAGCTATTATGAAGTAATTCTTCATTAATACATTTTGCCAAGTTACACTTAAAAACAAAACAACCATAAAAACAATATGTAATTGTGATCTATTATTCCACATTGAATTGCATTCCAAAATACCTACATTTTCACATTCCTCACACATGACTGTGCTAGTCAATTCACCAACAAAGATCCTATCTATGAAGTTCATCTTCACTCCCTCTCTTCCATATGCTGCAAAAATAGTGCTTTTTTAAATTTGAAAACATATGTAACATCAATAATAAAAATAAGACATTTGATTTCATTCAAACATAATCAGAACAGTGTAGGTATTTACTTTATATACTAAATATATATACGATACCCTTCCTTCTCCCATATTTGCTCCCTCCCCTCAATTTTGAGAGAATCCTAAACCTCTGAAGGGTTAGTTACAACAGATGAAAAGTTATCAGCTGTATTTAACTAAACCTATTTGCTGAAAATAAATAGTAGCCTTAATCACAATTTAGATGTAACTGCTATTCCCAAACTTTCTGAATTTCTTCTCTATTTACCAGTTTAAGCAGTAAAATGCTCAAGCACAATTACTATTTTATTAGGCACTAAAATATGCAATTGACAGTTACTATTTTGTATTTACTTAGCAATCTAGGAATACACATTTTAAAAAATTATAACAGGCATATTTCTCTACCTATCTCTCTACTCTTCCAGGACCCACACCTGTCATATTTCACATAAACCTTTAAAACAATGTCATATCATGAAAATAAACTTCTTTTGGGATAATGCTTTAGAAAAGGAAGAAACTCTAAGGAAGATGAAGAAAATTTATGTTTGCTACATGAGAAACTTATATAAAAACAGATGTCACATGTATAAATTATTTATGTAGACATACATACAGAGAAATACAAAGAGACAGACACTAGAAATGAACTGACAAAGCCAGATAAAGAGAAACAGATATACAGAGAAAGATATACAAAAAAATGGGTTGGCAGAGAGATAGACTTTGTCTAGATCTGCAATTTCATTAGTGTAGGCGATTCCTGGTGTGTAGATTCCTTCCAAGGATACAGATTAGCAACTTTCCTGAACTTCTAGTCTTACAAAGTTGTTAAGAGCACTGGGAGATTAACTGATATGCCAAAGGATCACATAGCCAGTACTCAGTGGCAGAAAGTGAACTCAGGTAGTCCCAACTATGAGGATAGCCCCTCTCTGTCTACTACAACAGAGGCTTTAAACTGGAAAGGTTGCAAAGAAGTGACCCAACTCTCCAGTGTACCCTGAACCAGATTAAAATATAATTGGGAAATATTTAATAAAATAAATAAAAATAAAACAGAGATAATGTTAATTTGTGGTTTTTAAGTCAATATGCAACTTGCAAGGACCCCTTTCTATTTGAGTTTGACAGTACTGCATTCATTATACTATACTTCCTCTCAAATATATACTAAAGTTAATAAAATTAGGCCTACTATAACAAATCTTTAATATAAGGGAAATGACAATGATCTAAATTGAATTTGAAAAACAAGTCATTTTATTTAGCAAACAAACTAATGCTGAAGAAAGAAATAATAAATGTTTGGAGAACATCCAAGTTACTAACAGTGGGTGATTCATAAACTACCATCTAAATCAAATTACTTGAAAAATTTCCTCAAAACTTGTGAAATTAATCATCATTAAATTTCATATGTGAGGAAGATGATGATACGGGTTCATAAAGGTACAACATGAAATATTACAGAAAAAAATTCTGCTTGAGAACACAAAAAAAGTTTCAGTTAAAAATGGGGTTAAGAGAAAAATCAGTCTGAGTTATTCTATTCATACACTAGATGGCACTACTCTAACACAAAAATTCAGTTAGTATAGAGATTTAGTTTTTACAATAATCACTTTAAAAGAAAATGTAAAAAAAGAAATTCTGAAGAATGCACTAATTGTTCTTAAGTTAAAGCTACAGATCATATAAATGTGACAGTAAAAGTGTCAACATACCTTTGATTTTTTTTCTAGTTTCCTCATCTGCAGTTTTAGTAGTTGGATTATTAAATGCTTTTAGTATGCCAGTTTGTATTCTCTGTAAAACAAGTCCAGTAAGTATTTTAAGAGAAAAAAAATAAGGCTTGAATTTCTTGAAATAGATACAGTTTAGTTTGTTATACTACAGAGTTTATTTTTCTGAATAAAAATCTATCTTTCCACAGAAGCATCATTGTATGTCAAATCTGTCAAGAAATCTGTACTCTCGCCAACCTTTTACCCACCTACAGTAAAAGGTGTCTCAAAAAGTAAGTCATAACCTCTTGAGCCCTCAATTTCCTTTTCTGCAAAACAGAAGGGTTAAGTTATGATCTCGAAAGTGAATCTTTAGCTCTAAATTCCATGAACCCCAATTTCTAAAGGTGTATTCATTTCTTCAGACCCCAAAATGCCATTTTGTAAACCTTGAGGTTTAAGAATGTCAATGTAGTTCCAAAAACAAGGAGCTCATTCTCTTCTTAATTTAAAAGTTCTGGGCTCATTATTTCAAAGTGATTTATCATTCTTCAACCATGGCCACAGAAAGTAATACACATAGATGATGAAAAAAATTTAAACAATTAAGTTTGAGACAAGTTATTTTATAATTTTTTACTTCAATTCCTAGCTATACAAACGCTTCTCAAACAATCTTCACACTATTATGCTGATTAGCGCAAGCAAAGACCAGCATATCAACTGTCTACATCAAGAAAGAACAATTAAAAGTTTCACTAATCAGGGTTTAGTGTACACTTAACAATCATGAATAATCATTTGTTGGTGTTGAAATATACTATCTACTTAATTAAAGCCACTGCTGGCTATCAAACAATAATGCTTAAATTTCTACACATGTCATATTTTCCACACTCATATCAATTTCAAGTATTAAAACTCTGTTCAAGCTATAGGTAGAGATGAAGCTCTAAAGGGGTTTCTAGGAACTCAGGTGACAGTGTCCATGTGGGAAGAAAGTCCTTATTTCAAGCAGGTGAGGTAGAGCACTTCAGCTTCCTGAGAAATTCTTGGGATGAGGCACTTGGCTGGCCTGTGGACAAAGGAGCTCTTAAACTGACCAAGAACCTCCCTGGCTGAATGAGCTCCGTAAGACTCTCACATCTCTTCCCATCATCTCCCTCCCAGTGTTAGCCTGTCCCCTTAAGTGCTCTGTTGGTCTATGATCCTTTTTCAAGTTGGCACTTGCATCAAAGCCCAGCAGTCCCACCAGGTACATAGTGATAGTTCTGCTAGTTCCTAGGATGTGAAAATACTGGCAGAGTTTGACTTGGTGTGAAATATAAGATTTGTGAAATTCAAAATTACTTTTAAACTTGAAAATCATTTTAATTTAATCAGTTTAGTAATTCCATCTCTGCCCTGACACTCCAAGTTCCTGCCCCAGAATCCTGGTCTGACTGGTTCATTTCTGTTACATTATCTAGCCTGGATCCAGACTCATCTTGATACTCCCTAGCCAGTCTCCAACCTTCACCTACTACAGGCACTACAACCTCCCTCCCTGGCACTCTGGGTTTTTGATGTATCAGCATTCATCATTTGTAGCTCATATCTGAGCCACCATGCTTCTATGCTCCTAACTACCACTTTCCTTTATGTGTTGTTTCCCCTATTATAATTAGTAAGCTCTTTGAAGGAAAGGCTGTTTTGCTTACTTACATTTGCATCCCCTGCATTTAGCAGTAGGTCCTTAATAAATGCTTTTCTAACCTATTCTCCTCCACTAATGAATGCAGTAGCTAGCAATTCACAACTAGCCCTCTTCATCCTGGCCCATGTTTTCTCATACAGTAGCTATTCAATATATTGAAGGATTTCTTTTTATTGTGAAATTGAGTTTCATTTATGAATTGCTATCAATGGCCAACAACAGATCTCACATAAATCTCAGTTACTAGTTTCCTAAGGAAGTATCTTGAAGATTATGACTATTTTTAGCTTATTTATTCATAATTCTAAATATTTATTATTATACTACCTGGGAAAGTCTTTATGTCAAAGAAATTTTCAAAACACTAAAAACCTAAAAAAACCCTCAAAAAACGCAACACTAAAAACCTCACTAATATGGGCTGTTTAAATTTGAAATTCACAATAATTTAATTTGGAATATTGTGTGTTTTAAAAAATTAAAAATATTTTTTACAATTCAAACTACTCATTAATTTTTCAGCCTGTCCATTATCTAAATTATCATGAACTAGTTAAGATCTTATAAGCTGATCAAGGTATTTAGCTAAGTAAAAATAAAAATAATGAAAGGTTTGAAACAATTTCAAATTAAATAATGTGTTCATCCCTTGAGCTTGTGACTTAACTTATGAACTCCCTAATGCTCCCTAGCCTTGATCCTTAAAAACCAATAATACACAAAAAACTCTAATCAATAGGTAATTCACTAAGCTGAATGTTATAAAAATGTTCATAGACCTATAAACAATCCTAACTTTGAAAGTTAGTTTAAAAAAAGACACAGCCTTTGGTCAGAGTATTCCTAACAACTGTAACACATTAATCAGCAGCAGGATCCAAACTACTTTAAAGCCCTGTATTTAAACAGTCTCTCAAGCACCAGAATAACTGCTAATTATAATTTCAATTGAGTAACTGACAATTCCTAATTTAAAAATATTCCTCATTTATAATAATATATATTTTCAGAAAAAATTGAAATATTGAGAAAATGTTGAAAGCAATGATAGTAAAGAAATTACATCTATGATCCAAAACAAAGAAAATTGGAAAATATTATTGAAAGAAAAATTTTAACATGAAACCCTAACAATTTCAAATATAAGAAAACATTAAAAAATAATTGCAGTAGATGATATTTTTCAATAAACTTCAATACATTCTAATCTATTCTAATTTTCATAGAGTCACTTTTAAAGCCACAAATGATTTCTCTCAATTATACAGCTTATAGGCTCTACATGAACACGATTAGATCGTTCTGCGCAACTGTTCTCCAAAAAACTGTTTCTACAATGCAGGAGCATTCACTTTAACTTTGTATTCAACAGGATTACTCTCCTAAACTTTACATTCACTAGAAAAGATTTTATGAAAATAGCCTGAAAGAAGGTCAGTAGCTGTAATTATTTCTAAAGGATTCTGGTGGCAGACATATTGCTGTAGGCTTTTTTCAATCAAAAAACACATGGTAGTGACACTCTACAACAATAGCACGATTAACAGCTGTGGAGTTCCCAGGCTAGACAATGCTGCTACTGCTTGGGTACTCACTGTATCTGACTGGCACAACTGTCATTGCTCACAAGGCTGAATAGGTCCTCAGACTTGACACTCTAATTTTGTCACACTATCTAAATTAAGAAAAAAGAGCTTTTCGTAGTAATCTTGCTGAGCTGTGTGAGGTGATAAAGTCACACAACACACACACACACACACACACACACACACACACCCATTCATATGTGCACCATTACAAATTGTTTAATTGCAGAAGGAGATAGGACCAAATTTCATTAACCTGGTAGCACAAATGGTAAAAAATAAGCATCTATATATCTATATTTTTATCATAAATGGGCATTAAAAATTAAAAGTAAACCAGCTATTATAATTTAAGTTGGATTAAGGTGCCTGACAACAGACAGTAAATGTGCACTTATAAAACTAAGGACAACAGTTCCTTCTGTCAGTCTGTCTTAATTAGTTTTATTTTAACTGACAATTCATTATCTATGGGGAAGTAGGCTTCACATTACTTTGACTATCTAGTATGTGACTTTCACAATTTCTCATTCAGTTATCCTTTCTCCAATTCTACAGTTACAATAATTACAGAATATAGCACAGTATTATAGTTAGTGATTTTACCCTGTGACAGACTTCATGCTTTGTCAGATAAGTTTTAAAAATTGCTGGTTGCTAACTTCTGTATAATAAATACTAAAAATAATAAAGGTCTACACAAGCCACAGTTAGTCCAGTTTAAAAATCTAATACATTCATTAGGATTGTAAGCTGGCTGCAAAAGAAAAAAATAGTACATATTTGGAAAACACAGTAAGAATCAACTTAAAGAACTATTTACTGCTGCACATTTCACTCTGAAATATGTGAATAATAATAGTAGTAGCAGCTGAGGCTTATACTTTAAGTGCTTTAAGGTTTGCAAAAGTATGTTACATGAATTACCTTATTTGAGCCTCATAACAACAAACAAGATAGCTTACTACAGGTGTTATTATCTCCATTTGGTAGAAGTAACTGAGGTTCGGATAACATGTGCTCTAGAACTTGGATTTGAACCCAGTTTTTCTGGCTTCAAATTTAATACCCTTCCTACTATATTATGCTACCTCTCACATAATGACTCATGTTTATGCAACATCTTAAAAGTTTTCAAAGCATTTCCCTCACATCAACATTATGAGGTAAGAATTATACTTACCCTATTTTATAAATAAGAACACAGAAGCACAAAGAGGTTAAGTGACTTGTCCAAGGTCACTCTGCTAGTACTTTGCATGGGTCAGGGCCTTGACTCCAAATCTATTGTTTATCCACTCACTAGTTATGTTACCATTTCTGTAACAACTATAGTTTAACATGCCAAAGCATATTAAATAACAGAAATCTCAATGAGGATTTTTTTTGTTAGGAACAGAAAATGCATAGTATAATCACTAAATCTCTTAGTTTATCAGAACATTCAAATAAATGGTTAACATCCAACCAACTAAATTCATATAATTAACCCATTTAAATAAGAGTAAAGTAAGGTATTGAACAATTCAAATAGCAATCCTCTTCTACATCATTCAATTCAACCAAAAGTACCTAAACTATGTGCAAGTGAGCTAGTTAATAGAAATAAAAATATCAAAGTCTATCCTCAAGCAGTTTATGATCTAATGAGGAAAGATAGAAGAGAGATAAGAAAATATAGTACAATACAAAGCAGAATGTGATAAATGCTAAGGAGAAATACAAAACAATGCATATTAAGAATAAGTAGAGAGTACTTTTCACTAAGGTAAAATCAGGGCAGGCTTCGTGGAGGAACTAGCACCTGTGCTAAACCTTGAAGAAAAGGATTTTAATATGCATAAATGTGAGGTGAGTTTGTTTCTGTGTAGCAAGTCCTGTGTTAAGTGTAGGATGTGTGTGTTGAAGGGGGGGGCAGAATGAAACCACAAAATAGCCAGTAGTCCAGTATGTTTGGAATGCTAGGGCACTCCAAAGTTTTGAGTCTGATTAACTGGGGAGGATATGACACCATTAATGTTGTGTTGTTGCTGTTCAATTGTTTCAGTTTGATTTTTTGTAACCCCATTTGGGGTTTTCTTGGAAAAGATACTGGAGTGATTTGCCATTTCCTTCTTAAGCTCATTTTACAGATGAGGAAACTGAAACAGAAGTAAGCCCAGGGACACATAGCTAAACATCTGAAGCCAGATTTGAACTCATAAAGATGAGTCCTCCTGACTCCAAGACTGGGATCTATTAACTGTGCTAGCTAGCTGCCTTGACACCACCAACAGAAACAGGTAAACTAGACAAGTTGTACATAGTAACACAGGCAGAATCTTATAAATGGCTAAATGATGTCACAGCAGGATTTTGTAATTTCATTAAAATAGCTAAAATATTTAGCTAAAATATATTAATAACAAATATAATATATAAAATAAATTAACACTGGTTGGGACAATCTCATGAAGTACATGTGAAAACTGTTAGAAAATTCTAATCCTACCTGGTTTTCCTCTAATGGAAGTTGGGCAGGAAGAAAAAATTGAGAATAATAAAGATACAGAGCTGCACTATTTCAGTTTGCAATAGTAAAAATGGAAGACTGTTAGGCTTAAGGTATACTGATTTTTTTCTTTGAAGGATATGGCTACTTTATAGCACATTACTTTTTAGCTTAAAAAGAGTATTAGTTCTTATGGCTATTTTGTAAAAATTTCATTCTATATGAACAAACAGAAAAAAATGACTGAAATGTAGTTTCTTTTAATACTGAAGTTATGAGAGATCAATGGACTGCTTATGGCCAAAGGAAAAATGATCTTGATGGAGAAAATTAAAAGAACATTTATAAACTTGAGCTCTTTTGAAATTAAATTCTATAATGATACTATATCTCTGTAGGTCACTATCTACACTACGGAAAATAAGCATACTGATATTTAAAAAAATATATATATATATAATATATGTTTAAAATAATAACCATAAGAAACTTCACCTTTGTTTCTTCTATCCTCATTGCATCCAGTAAATAATGGAGAAGTTCCTGACTATCTTGCTGTTGGAAACTTTTAAATCGTGGAGCCCTGTGATTTAAAAAAAAAAAGAGGGTAGGGAAAAGAGAAAGAACAATGATGCACAAAACTTTGTATTATATAAAAATGTTTTAAAAATAACGGTACCACAAAATAAAGGCTTCAAGAAATATAACAATTTTCACATACTGACTCAAACTTTTCATATAAAGGTAGATATGAGACATATGAATACTACAATAAATAAGAAACCATTAGGACACATTTACAAAAAATAGATAATATTCAATTTTATAGTACCTAGAGAGAACTATGATAATGTGCTTACTATACTATAGACTTCAAAAGGGCAAAGATAGTAGTTTATTTAAGCTATGTTCCTTTTCCAGCACCTAGTGCTCTGATCAATAGGTCTTAATAGATGTTTGCTGAATGGAAAGTTTCCAAATTATCTCTTGTACAATGAAAAACATTTCCTTTAAAACTACTAATACACTGGATGACCTCCCTGTAACATGATTTGTCTAGGAAGGTGCTGTAGCTTACTGAAGTTAACAAAAGGATCTAAAAAGCAGTCTGATAGCATGTCCTCAGAGGACAATATTTTCAAGAGGCTACACTGTTAAAATGTAAAAAGTTAATTGTTTCCCAAGACAAATCAGGAATTAAAGCCACAGACATTGATTATACAGTTGCAATAATAAAGAATTTGCATAAGTACTTGAAATTCTTGATGTCATACCTGGAATTATTTGCCCATCTAGACTTAAAAAAGATTATCTAGTTCTAGAGTCTGAAATATCGGAACAACTGTATGTTTTGAGAAGTTCATTCTTTTTTCTTTTTTTCGTGATACAATTGGGGTTAAAAGACTTTCCCAGGGTCACAAAGCTCGTAAATGTCAAGTGTTTGAGGCTGCATTTGAACTCAGGTACTCCTGACTCCAGGGCCAGTGCTCTATCCACTGCGCCACCTGGCTGCCCTTTAAGAAACTAATTCTGAAGGTTTCTATTTTTTAAGTTTAAAAAGTAAGTCGTCAACAAGCATTGATTAAGCATTTGCTATGTGCCAAGTACTGTTCTAATGCTGGGAATACAAATATAAGTAAAAAAAAAACAGTCCCTGTCCTCAAGGTCCTTACATTTTAATAGGGGAAGACAATCAGTTAATCAAACATTTATTAAGCATCTACTATATAATGCCTGGCACTATGCAAAGTGTTGGGGATACAAAAAGAGGCAAAAAAAAGTGCCTTCCTCAAGGAGCTTACACTCTAATGGGTGAGTTAACATGCACACAAATATATAGATACAGGATAGATAGGAAATAATGGAGGAAAGGTACTGGGGAAGACTTCCTATCAAAAGCAGGATTTTAGTTGGAACTTAAAGTCAGATAGGTCAGTAGTCAAGAGTGCAGGAAGGAGAACATTCCAGGTATTAGAGATAATTAAATCCACGAGAGCTTATGAGATCACTAAGTGAAGTAGTATAGAGGAAGAAGAGAAGGGAACCCAGGACAGAACCTTGTGGGACACCTATAGTTAGAAGGTGTGATACACCAGGAAGACCCAGTAAAGGAGACAGAGGAGCAGCAGTCAGACAGGTAGGAGGAAAATCAGGAGAGGAGAGAGCGAGAGCGAGAGCGAGAGCGAGAGAGAGAGAGAGAGAGAGAGAGAGAGAGATGAGAAAGAGAATCTAGGAGGAAAGAGTGATTAAACGTGTCAAACGCTGCAGAGAGGTCAAGAAGAATGAAAACCAAGAAAAGACCATTGGATTTGGCAAGAGATCATTGGTAACTTTGGAGAAAGTAGATTCAGTGGAATGGTAGGGTTGGAAGCTAGATTTTAAGAAGTTAAGAGAGTGAAAAGAGAGAAAGCAGAGGCACACATCACAGACAACCTTTTCGAGTTTAGCTACAAAATGCAGAAGAGATACAAGATGACGGAATGGTCAGAAGGGTCAAGTGAGGGTTTTTTCAGGATAAGAAAGACATGGGTATGTGTGTAGGCAATAGGAAATGAGCCAGTAGAATTTTTTTTTGCATATTTTATTAATTTATTTTGATTTATCAACAATTTCTTCCATACGCTTTTCAAAGTTTAAAATTTTTCCTCCCCCTTCCTCCCCACCTCTCCCTCTCCAAAACAGTGCACAATCTGATATAGGCTATACATTTACATTCCTATTAAACGTATTTTCACACTAGTGAAGTTGTAAGTAAAAATTAAACCAATAGGAGGAACCATCAGAAAGAGGAAACAAAACTCAAGAGAAAAAAAAAGATAGCAATTCAGCTTTCACAGTTATGATTACTATCTCTTTTTCTCCATCCTTTTTTCCCCATTTATGCTTTTCTTTCTCCTCTCTCCCTTCCCCTCATCACCAGTACTTTGCTTTTGACCACTGCCTCCTTCAGCCCAGTAGAGAGAAATATTGAAAATAAGTGAAAAAGTGGGGATAACAAAGGAATCAGTCTATTGGAAGAGCTGGGATGGAATAGAATCAATTGAACAACAGAAGGGTTAGTCTTGGTGAGGAGTAAGGCCACTTCATTATGTGAGATAGAGAAAGTGGCAGAAGGCACCTGTGTGGCAAAAGATGAGGAAAAGGGGAGAAGAGGGAGTTCATGGCAAGTAGTCTCAATTCTTCTGTAAAATATGAGGCAAGGTTCTCAGCTGAGAGAAATGGGGGAAGGGGAATCATGGTAGGTTTGAGGAAGGATGAAAAGGTTTGGAAGAATGGCTGTGGAGAATAGGATAGTGAGTTGATAAGGAAGATATAGTGGGCTTGTCTAGCAACCCTGGGTCCAACTGAGGTTATATAACAAAAATTTGTAGAGGATCCAGTTCAAATGGTGAGGTGATTTCTCCACCTTCATTTAATCAAAACAATCCAGGTTTTACCTGAAATCTAACATACTGGAAAAGATGACAAAAGACTTGAAAGTTTTAAGACAAACAGACAGACATAAACTAGTTACACCATAATACTGGTTAATTTGTGAAATGGTCTAGCCATTCTGGAAAATAATTTGGAATTACTTTTTTTTTTTAATTATTTTTTCTTTTTCTTTTTTTAATATAAATTTATTTATTTTCAGTTTTCAATATTTACTTCCACAAGATTTGGGTTTCAAATTTTCACCCCATCTCACCCCTCCCCATACCCCAAGATGGCATGCATTTTGAATATCCCTTCCCCTAGTCTGTCGTCTCTTCTATCTCTTCCCCCCATCTCTTATCCCCTTCCCCTTCTATTTTCCTGTAGGGCAGGACAGACTTCTGTACCCCATTTCCTGTATTTCTTATTTCCCAGTAGCATGTGAAAACATTTTCTTTTTAAACATATGTTTTTAAAACTTTAGGTTTCAAATTTTCTCCCTTCCTCCCTCCCCAACCACCCTCATTGAAAAGGCAAGCAACTCAATATAGGTTATACATGTGCAGTTATGCAAAACACTTCCATAGTAGACATGTTGTGAAAAACTAACTCTATTTCCCTTAATCCTATCCTGCCCTCCCATTTATTCTATTCTTTCTTTTGACCCTGCCCCTCCTCAGAAGTACTTGCTTCTGATTACCCCTTTCCCAATCTGCCCTCTCTATCATCCCCTGCTCTCTTGTCCCCTTCTCCCCCTATTTTCCTGTAGGGTAAGACAGATTTCCATACCCAATTGAATGTGTATGTTATTCTCTCCTTAAGCCAAATCCTATGAGAATAAGATTCACTCATCCTCTCTCACCTTCCCCTACTCCCCCACTGTAAGAGCATTTTCTTTTCTGTTTTTTTTGTGAGATAATTTACCCCATTCTACCTCTCTCTTTCTTCTTCTCTGAATATAATCCTCTCTCATTCCTTAATTTTATTCTCCAGATATGACCCCTTAATCTTCAACTCACCCTGTACCATCCATCTATCTATCTATCTATCCATACATACATATAATTTTTTTTCCTCCAATTACCCTAATACTGACAAAGGTCTTATGAGTTATAAATATCATCTTTCCATGCAGGAATGTAAACAGTTCAACCTTAATAAGTCTCTTATGATTTCTCTTTCCTGTTTACCTCTTCATGTTCCACTTGAGTTGTATTTGAAAGTCAAATTTTCTATTCAGCTCTGGTCTTTTCATCAAGAATGCTTGAAAGTCCCTTATTTCACTGAATGACCATTTTTTCCCCTGAAGGATTATACTCAGTTTTGGTGGGTAGGTGATTCTTGGTTGTAATCCTATCTCCTTTGCCTTCTGGAATATTATATTCCATGTCCTGTGGTCCTTTAATGTAGAAGCTGCTAAATCTTGTGTTATCCTGATTGTGTTTCCACAGTACTTGAATTGTTTCCTTCTGGCAGCTTGTAATATTTTCTCCTTGACCTGGGAACTCTGGAATTTGGCTACAATATTCCTAGGAGTTTTCCTTTGGGGATCTCTTTCAGGAGGAGATCAGTGTATTCTTTCAATTTCTATTTTGCCCTCTGGTTCTACTATATCAGGGCAGTTTTCCTTGATAATTTCTTGAAAGACGATGTCTAGGCTCTTTTTTGATCATGGCTTTCAGATAGTCCAATAATTTTTAAATTCTCTCTCCTGGATCTATTTTCCAGGTCAGTTGTTTTTCCAATGAGATATTTCACATTGTTTTCTAATTTTTCATTCTTTTGGATTTGTTTTACAGTGTCTTGATTTCTCATAAAGTCACTAGCTTCCAATCGTTCTATTCTAATTTTTAAGGAAGTATTTTCTTCAGTAAGCTTTTGGACCATTTTTCTTTTTAGGGCATTCTTCTCCTCATTGGCTTTTTGGACCTCTTTTGCCATTTCGGTTAGACTATTTTTTAAGTGTTATTTTCTTCAGTATTTTTTGGGTCTCCTTTAGCAAGCTGTTGACTTGTTTTTCATGATTTTCTTGCATCACTCTCATTTCTCTTCCCAGTTTTTCCTCTACTTCTCTTACTTGCTTCTCAAAATCCTTTTTGAGCTCTTCCAAGGCCTGGGACTAATTCATATTTTTATTGGAGGCTTTGGATGTAGGAGCTCTGACTTTGT